ATGAATGGATGACAAGATTATAAGGAAGAAGGAAATTACAAAAATGGTACTATTTTATTTTAATTTGGATTCACGATCTTTTTGGGGTTTTTTTTTATATAGTTTTATGTATGGTTTTCAGTGTTGCCAACGCATATGGTGTAGTATTCATATTCGATTAACGGGTTTTATAACAACTAATGTGTTATAAAAGTAAGAGATGATTGTCATATGTCATTGTTGTCAAAGTAAGAGATAAAAGGTAAATTTTATGAAATTTTATCACAGCTAATGTTTCATTGTATTTTGGTTTCTTCAAGGTATGAACGTCATTTGTAGTTGTCGTAAAGGTAAAAGATGAAAGATACAATATTATGGCTTTCGAGCATAACTAAGAGCATCTCCAACCGATATGTTAAAAATGCCACATAAACATTTAACGGTTAGAAATAACATCTCACATCACTCCAACCGATGTGTCAAAACTGATGTGGAATGAAGGCTGAAGGTTGAGATGTTATTTTTGACATCCCAAAAGTAAGATGTCAAATGAATATTTTATTATTTTTAAAGATAGTTGGTTGTTACTTTCATTCATTATTTTCCTTTTTATATTTTTTTTTCTTCTTTATCTTAAATGATTTGACTGTTACAATAATTATTTATTTGACATATTGGGTGGAGTGTAAAACTATGTAAATGTCAAATTGCCACATTAGCCATCAAATTTAAATTTGATGTTTGGTATTTGACATCTCCCTTGGAGATGCTCTAATGTGTCATTGAGGTTTGGTTTCCTCGTGGCATGAGTGTCACGTGTTATTGTCGTAAAAGTAAAAGATGAAAGATAAAAGTTTACGGATTTTGATCATAATTATTGTTCCATTAAGATTTAGTTTTCTCGCGATATAAGAGTCATTAGACATTATTATAAAAGTAAAATATGAAAGATAAATTTATGGATTTTGATCATATTTAATGTGTCATTGAGGGTGGATAACACCAACTGAGTTTTAAATTTTCCAGATTAACCTTTAAAAGAAATTAAAAGGAAAAAAAGGTTCAAAGGTTGGATAACATCACCCATATCCACATGAGAGTTCACAAGCAAAAAGTCGTGATTTCAAAGCGACTGTGATGTACGGAAGCAAGAAATCCCATGTAAAGCAGTGACAAATGGCATGAACACTCCCATCCCGAAACCCAATAGGAAACAGCCATCTACCAAAACTGAAACGGGTCCATGACCACTACGACTTATTACAAATACGTGGTGGTGCTCGATTGGTCTGTCATGAATGGTTGAGCTGTTTAGGTGTGAATGTAACTGGTGTTAGAGAACGACGTCATATATTGGAAAAGACCGAGTGAGTTGAAACGGCCAAGTGAGTTGAAACGGACCAGCTTGATTGGCAGATGCAGAAGGAGAGAGAAAGAGAGACAAGGGTTACGCCAGTACATGGATGCATTGTAGCAAATGGTGATGCCCGCCGCTTCACCCACGAATCCAGACAAACCTTGTTATGTCAATTATCAACCCCTTTTTTTTCCCTTTTTTTTAATTGTTTAAATTTCTTGGACTCAAAGTCAATTATCAAATCCAAAATTACAAATTACAAACCAGTCAGTTCATTTTCTCTGTCTACATTTTATAGAGAAAACATAAAGAAATAGGGAGAATAAAATATTAAAGAGAGATTTAACCATTTCATAATTTTCACTAAAATGAACTTGTTACATGCATTATGCAATTTATTACTTCGGTTATATGCAAGTGCGAGTTAGGTCTGTTGATAAGGATAATGAGCTCGTCCTTTACAAACCGACGAAAAAATCAACTGACTTAAAATAGGTTTTTTGATTATAAAACATTTGTTATTTTGATATTATTATTATTATTATTATTTGTCAGGTGGCCCACTTGTGGCCATTGGGCTTTCATGTGTGGGCTACTTGCTCTGATACCATGAAAGAAGTTGAGGTTCCACCTCAAAATCAATTGGCAATGGGGGGAGTAGCCTAACTTCTTATAAGCCCTTGCTAGATTTCTCAAGTTTCCAATGTGAGACTCTTTACCTTCACATTCTCACAAGATAAAAGTTTACAAATTTTGATCATAATTAATTTTCCATCGAGATTTGGTTTCCTTGCTACATGAGTGCAACCTATCATTGTTGTAAAAGTAAAAAAAAATGAAAGATACAATTTTACTGATTTTTCTTCTGATTAATTTGCCCTTAATATTTGATTTTCCTCGTGATTATATGTCACCTGTCATAAAGGTAAAAGATGAAAGATAAAATTTTCGCTTTTTTAGCATACTTAATGTTTCATTTTAAACGTAAGTATCATTTTCAATTGTCTTTCTTTTTAGTGAAAATTATGTATTTTTTGGTTGCCAAAAGTATCATTTGTAATTATTGTAAGAGTACAAGATGATATATATTATCTATTCATTGAATTACAACATCATCGCGACATGATTATCATTTGTCATTTAAGCGTGTGATTAAGACTAAATTGCCCTTTTGCCAAAAAAATGACTTTTCTAAAAATCGAGCAAGTGATACCACAAAAGAATAGTTAAGCCAATAGGATCACCATTATGCACACTATTTTGTCCTTAATTGTTCTCTCTCTCTCTCTCTCTCTCTGTGTGTTTTTGTTGGTAAAGTGCTTTATTTGAAGAAAATTGTGAACAATTAAAAGAGAAACATATCTTAAATTTATTAAACCATCGTGTTAATTGAGTCTTAAATTTTTAGGATAAATTTCTTTTTTAATATGAAAAAAAAAAGCTCAAATGTGGCAGTTCGTTATTGGGTAACTTCACCGAGATCCATATGAGTGCCCACAAACAAAAAGTCGTAATAGAGCAAATCCAAAGCGACTGTGATGTACGGAAACAAGAAAGCCCATTAAAGTTGTGACGAATGTCATCAACTCTCTCATCCTAAAAACTAATAAGAAGCAGCCATATACGAAAACTAAAACAGGTCATGTGACCGCCACGGTTTATTAGGAATACGTGGTGATACTCGATTGGTCTGTCATGATTGCTTGGGTTGTTTAGGTGTGAATCTAACTGGAGCCAGAGAATGACATTAGATATAGGTTAAGGACATAGTGAGTTGAACTGTTTAACGAACGAGCGTGATTACGTCAGAAGTGCATGGACGCGTAGTAGCAAATGGTAATTCCCTGCCGCTTCACTCACGAATCAAGACAAACCTTGTTATGTCAATTATTAACTTTTTATTTTTTTATTTTTTAATGTTGTTTAAATTTCTTAAACTCAACATCAATTATCCGTCTAACTCTAACCAATAGAAATTACAAAATCAAAAATCAAAAATTACAAACCCATTGGATCCGTTCTCTCTCTCTCTCTCTCTCTCTCTCTCTCTCTACAGTTTATAGAGGAAACATAGAGAAAAAAAAATCAAAGAATTATAACCATTCCACTTTCCATAAAATGAACTTATTACGTGCATTATGCAACTGTTTTGATCACTTTGGTGATATGAAGACGGGAGTGAGGTAGTAACAGTTGCTATGTTGATTCGTATGTGATGTGGAAGCAGACACAGCGAAACACCATTATCGCCATGATTTAGTTGCTACTTTTGGCTCACATATACAGGGTTTTGACTCCAATTCAATAAAAGTTACCTGTTTGTGTGGGTTGGGGTTTAGCCGGTGCGGCACTAAGGGTTTCGCCGGTATGGTATTATGGATTTCTTCGGTTGCCAAAGAGGATGTGGAGCGATGTTCCTGTTTCTTGTTTTAAGTATTAGGACTTTGCTATCATTTTTATTTTAATTCTCAAGAACTCTTTAGGAGTTTGCTATGTTTTGTATTCTAGTTTTCGGTTGCAATCCACATATGTCGTTTTTGCCGTTGCGCGGTAGTGATGTATTGTTAGTTTGAGTACGAGTCCTTCGAGATGCTGAATCAAGGGTTTGAATATTTGTTAGTTTAGGCGTAATTCTCTCAATATCAAATCAACATATTATTGTGTTTGGTCACTTGTACCCATTTTGGCTCTTTTATGGCTTTGTACTATGATATGTTTCATCAATAATTACTATCGTTTTTTCTCAACAACAAAAAAGTTTGAATCCTCTCACCATAAATTAGATCAAATTATGGCATGTTTACAAATCATTAATGGGAATCAAAATAAGTAGTTGAATTCATATTAGTGATTATTCCTGTGTACTTCACATAAAGGAATGCATAAGCAAGCAGGGCCCACACAACAAATTTAGAAGGAATTGAACTCTTGGGAGGAGGTGATATTCTAATTCATGGAGAACTAGCCCGGAATCCATCTTTTTTACTTATTATATCCTCACAAAAATTTTTAAATTCCAAATTTACCATTCACTTTAACCTAATAATTTATTTTAGCAATAAAACTACTTTCATTTCCAATTCATGATAATTTAGTAAACAATTTTAATGAGAATTAAGATTCCAACTCCTCAGTTCAATTCATCATAACCCGATTACGGATTAGTAAATGTGCTATTAGGGTAATTTGGACTATTGCTTGGATCGGTTATTTTTTTTCTTTTTTTAATGAATAATGCTACTCTTACCATATTTGTATATCACATTCTCATACCACCTTATGTGGCAGATGAGGTGGACAACGCATCAATTAAAATTAATTTAAAGTTTTCTTATCTTTTATGATTTATTGACACTTTTTAATTGATGTGATTGTCCACTTCATCTGCCACATAAGGTGGTATGAAAATGTGGGATGTAAATGTGGTAAGTGTAGCATTACTCTTTTTTAATTAGCAAAAGTATGTTGAAGAAAACCCTAATTAGAGGCTGTTAATGTGAAATGTGGGTTAATGATGAAGTTGTAAATTGTAATGGTAAAGGCTGAGGCACCGCATGGTGGTACCATTCAGGTGGGAACGTATGGCGGGTGGCACAAAATCCGGAGTGAGGGCTAAGAAAGTAGCGGCACGCGGTTTTGTTTTCTTGTTTCTTTTAATCCGTCTCCTTTATTGCACTCTCTCTAAAACTGCCTCTCCATCTCTTTGGATTCTTTTCTCTTTCTCTCTCTCTCTCTTACTTAATGAGGGATGAGATTCGGATTAAAACCCCACTACTCTCAGAAAAATAAAATAAAACCCGAGGAAAAAACCATTTGAACTTATCTATAAAAAAAAACCCAAAAAAATAAAAAGAGAGAAAAAGAAATAAACAGAAGTTGGTGCAAATACAATGAAACCTCCCAGAACAAACCAGAACACACATGGGGGCTGTTGAGCTTTTTCACTCCATTTAAGCGTGCGTGCTCTCATTCTTGGAGAGGCTCCTGCTCTGTTTGTCTTGCCCTCGCTGGACTTTTGCAGAAAGAGCCGGTGGTTTTGGTAATCTCCTCTCTGGTTTTCTGTTAATCTCGGTCTTAGCACAGAGATTTAGTGTTTGGTGAGGTCGATGTTCTGAGATAATGACCCAGTTAAATATCAACAGATTCATGGGTTAGAGAGCAGTGACGTCGCCTTCTGTGGTGGTGAGATGACTTAAAATAGGTTTTTTTAAATAATAAAATTGTTGTTTTGATATTTTTATTTGTGTGGTTATCTTTGATGGTGTTGTTGATAGCGCAGAGAGTATCAGATGCTTTATGTTGCTTCTGTGTGAGGGTTTGATACCAAAAGCGGGCCCTTTCACTCTTTTGCTTCCTTAATCTAATACAATCTTCTTTCTCTCTATCTCTTTGCACTTATCCGTACACAGAAGCAGAAAAAAAACTTAAACCCTTCTCTCTCTCTCTCCACTATCTCTTTCACAAAAATATCTGATACCAACAGAAAGGGAAAAAAAATTCAGTTATTTGAGGAAAAAAAATCAGTTATTTGAGGAAAAAAATGAAGGGGAAGCAAGTTCAAGTTCATCATCACCAAGATCTGCATGCAGGAGATCTTCATCATCACCACATGAAAGATGTAAATATTCCAATCTCAGATGGGTTTGGTGGTGGTGGTGCCATGGAGGAACTGGAAGATCAGGAGGATAATTTGGGTGTGGACCCAAGTGAGATGTGGCTTGATGACAATGACCAAGAAACTGCTCTCCTTGCTGATGTCAATGACCCTTCCATCTTCTACAATGACCACTTCCCTCCTCTCCCTGATTTCCCATGCATGTCATCTTCTTCCTCCTCATCTTCAACCCCTGCACCGGTCAAGTCGGTCACTTCATCGTCCACCTCGTCCTCAGTCTCCTCGTCCTCCTCCGCGGCCTCCTGGGCCATCTTGAGATCGGACGCGGAGGAAGATGGGGAGAGAAGGCAGCAGCACCACCATAACAGTTACAACCACCGCCACCAGTACTCACAGGCTGATGATCAGGCGGTTGATGTGCATGCCTTGTCCTCCACCGCCTCGATGGAGATCTCTCAGCCGTCGGATCTCGGCAGGGAAGGCGGAGCCATGGATTGCATGGGTGCGATGGAGACTTTTGGGTACATGGATCTGTTCGAGTCCAATGAGTTTTTTGACCCCTCCTCCATTTTCCAAAGTGACAGCCTTTTAATGGAGCAGTTTCAACAAGATGACGACCACCAGCAATTACTAGCGCCCCACCAATTACAAGACCCTAATGAAGCCACTGCAATTATTCCTCAACAAGAACAAGAACAAGAAGTTGCAGTTCGTGATGACGAGAATAACAAGAAGGATGATCAGAAAGAGAACAAGGAGCCGGACGACATGGCCATGGTGTTCTTGGAGTGGCTGAGGTCAAACAGAGAGACGGTCTCCGCTGAAGACTTGAGAAGTGTGAAGATCAAGAAGTCGACAATCGAGTGCGCGGCCAGGCGGTTGGGCGGAGGTAAAGAGGCCATGAAGCAGTTGCTTAAACTTGTGCTTGAGTGGGTTCAGACCAACCATCTCCAAAAGAGGCGCGGTAATAGTCTTACCACCAAAGACGCCGATATTGTTGCCCAACAACAGTACCAAGACCCTTTTCAAAACCCTAACCCTAACACAAGCCCTAGAGTTCTTGAATCAAACCCTTCTTGTAGTTTCACCCAAACTCCTTGGATGGCACCTCCGCCACATGCAGCCTATGATCACGCCGGGGGAATCCTTGTCCCCACTCCGCCTCCGCCGCCCCCTCCGGCAGCTTACCCTTCAATGATGGGGTACATAGCGCCTGACCAGTATGTTAACGGGCCAGGTCCATACCAACCATCACCGGAATATCATCACATGATTGATTCTGGGCAATCTACCTGGCCGTCGTCTCCGTTTGGCATGGGAACGGCCCATTACGGGTCGTTCCCGGACAATAACATTCACCTAGCCCCTCCTCCACAGCATCATCCCCAGGCTTTTGGGTATGGAAGTCAATACCAGCCTTACCAGTATTTTCCATTGAATGGTGAGCATCAATTGATGAGGTTAGGGTCTTCAGCTACGAAAGAGGCGAGGAAGAAGAGGATGGCGAGGCAGAGACGACTTGTGTCACACCATAGGCATGGACATCAGCAGCAGCAGCACCTTAATGTTCAAATGCCGGATCATCTTCTTCATCAGCAGCACACAAGGCTTGTTGGGAACGCAGGCGATCTGAATTGCGCTAATTCTGTGCCGCTACAAGCCAATCCGGGCAACTGGTTTTACTGGCCCACTGCTACGGCGGCCCCGGCCATGATGCCTAGCATTACACAAGAGGCTGCACCGCCTCCTCCAGTGCAGCAGATGGATCGGCCGGCTAGTACTCAAGCACAGAATTACAGTCAGGGGCGTAGTGCTGCACAGGAAAGGCAGGAGAGGCGCCAGGTGGGTTGTGTAATTTGGTGCAGTTATGCTCAACATTCTTAAGTGGTACAATATTAATTGATTGGGGATGGATGATATAGAAAACAATTTTGATCAACTAATTAATACTTGCCTGCCATTGTGTTTTTTTCTTTTTTAGGGATGGAAATCTGAGAAGAATTTGAAGTTTCTTCTGCAGAAGGTGTTGAAGCAGAGCGATGTGGGTAGTCTTGGAAGGATTGTGTTACCAAAAGTACGTCATTAATTTCCTTAATCATCATTTGAACTGACTCTTCACTTACTTAATTGAAATTGGTTATACTCATTTTGTTAATTGCAATTGTTGGTGGTGTTGTTAATTAATGATTAATTAGAAGGAAGCAGAAACCCATCTTCCAGAACTGGAGGCAAGAGACGGGATTTCCATCCCAATGGAAGACATTGGGACTTCTCACGTGTGGAACATGCGCTACAGGTATTCTACAAATATTGAGTCTATTAATGTTCATGCCATGTTCATTTTTCAATACAATTTTTTTGTTTATCAATGTTAATTAATTGTTTTCGATACCGCCCGAGAAATTGTAAGTAATTATTTTGCTCCTCTTTTTCTATCTATATGTGGAGTTTCAGGTACTGGCCCAACAATAAAAGCAGGATGTATCTCCTAGAAAACACAGGTGCACATAGCGCAATTTTCTTGCTCTTAATTTGTCATGAATTGTTGTTTTGTTTTCTGAACTTGTCATGGATTTATTATTATGTGGTTGAAGGAGATTTTGTGAGAGCCAATGGACTCCAAGAAGGGGACTTCATAGTCATCTACTCAGACGTGAAATGTAACAAATATGTATGTTTATTAGTATTATCCTAATCTACGAAGTAATTAGTGACTAATTTTTCGTATAGTGTTAATTTTTTATGTGTATTTATACATTGATATACAGATGATACGAGGAGTGAAGGTACGGCAAGCCGGGCCAAAATCAGAGGGCAACAAAAGGCCGGGAAAGTCGCAAAGGAACCAGCATGCAAACACTCCAGCTGGCACTAATGGTTCGTCACCTTCCTCAGTCTCAGCCTCAGCCTCAGCCACACACAGGAAACAGTAAAGTGAGAGACAAAGCAAGCAAGCAAACGAAATCGAAACAGAAGGCCACATCTTCCTTCTTTGTTTTTCTTACTTTTTTTTCTCTCTTTCATGCATGAAAATGGATGGACAGATGGACGGTGAAGATTAGCCTGGGGGGTTGTTGAAGCTCCTCCTCATCGTTAATTGGTCGATTTTCTCTCCAGTCAAAGTCAATGTAGATTACTGTCTCCAAAAGCGATCACACTGCGTTTTGAAAATATTCAAGCTTTTTTGCGCAGGTTGGTTCAGTCGGTATGGCAGGGCTTTTGGTTTTAGAGATGAAAAAAAAACCATCTGACGTATAGAGGGTTCAAAATAGTGTATGATTATATAGATGTTTTGGGGTTGCAGTGTCAAAATATGACCCCAATTAAGTGTTAATTAGTGTCTGTTTTGTCTTGTTAATCATTGATGTTGTATTTTGTAGAACTTAATTCGTAAATGATGTATATGAGGAGGGATGTATAATGCTCGCTCATTCATTATATATATATATATATATATATGTATGTATGTACTAAAAAAATTTCAAAATCATGTTAGCATTGATGCATGTTGGTTAAATTAATTATAAATTATTGGTCTGATATTTGATCATATTGAAATATTTGTGTTACATGCAATTATTGTATTATTTTTGTCATTTTTTAAAGTTTTCGAAAGGTCTTTTAGAATATGTAATGGGAAAATTTTCAATCTTTTCTTTAAAATTGAAAACCATTTAATTGACGTCTATGGAGTATAGCTTAGGTCGTTGAGCTCTTCCACCTCCCTTCCCAGACACCTAATCAATATTTGTGAAATTTCCCCTCCCCAATCGCTTGTAAACCATTTAATTGACCATCTTGTAACTTTAAAGTTTCCTTTTTTTCTTCTGGAAATTTAGAAAGTTCTACAATTTACGGTCTGCTTTTAGGATTCACTTAAGTTTAATGAAATGATCTTGTGGTTAACATAAATGTCTGCTTTTAGGATTCACTTAAGTTTAATGAAATGATCTTGTGGTTAACATAAATGTCCATATGAACGGTCTATATATGTCGCTCTACCATAGAATTTCGCTATATTCCCTATATTCCAATCCACACATATTTCTTGTTTGATACGGCCCATAATCCATATGACATTACGTGCCCAAACGACATACACTGGAACGTCGTTTGAAGTGGTCAAACTTCATAACCAGTAGTCAAACTAAGTCAAATGTCAACCAAGACAAGGATCACCTCTACATAAACACCAAGAAGTGACTTTCGCTGCTTCTGATTATTTAAACTTCTCCTCAATTTTACACACAGAAAAACCTGAGCCTAATTTGAAACAAAAACTCAAGCAGAAAACAAATTTCTAAGCTGAAGTCTGAAATAACTTCTTATTTGATCAGTTAACTGTTGTTTTTGACATTAGGGGGAGAAGTGTATATCAATGAGGATGCAGAGAAGCTTGTGCTGTGACTTGAAGGGTAAGAAGAATGCTGCACCACCATGGCTGATGAGGTTCCTACACTGCAACTGATATTTTCTCGCCCTTCATTTTCAGCAGAGCCATTGAGAAGCATGTTAGCTTTCATGCACTCTTCTCTCTCCTGCCTTATTTCTTTGAGCATGGCTGCTACATCTTTCATGTTTGGCCTGTCATCTGGGGTTGAGTTTATGCAGAGCAAAGCCACACCTAGTGTCTGCAACATTTCTTCGATTTCGGATTCGGGCCGGGCACGTAGGCTTGCATCCAGGACTTCAACTCCCCCTCTCCTCTGCCTTACCCAATCCACAATGTGCAGGCCATCTGGTATGGTTGGATCAATTGGTTGCTTCCCTGTTAGCACTTCTAGCACAACTACACCATAGCTGTATACATCACTTTTCTCTGTTATCTTCATCATGTATCCATATTCTGTAAATCAAATCCAAGAAAATGTGGAGCATTAATATTGTTTGTTGCTGCTGTGGATGAAGCAGAAAAAAGCAAGGGAGAATAATGTACAATTGTTTAGTTATTCGTGATGCAGTTTATGACCACTTTTTGTTTATATACTACTTGAAATTTATAACGTCGCCATAAGAATTTGTACTAACCAGGAGCAATGTAGCCATAAGAACCAGCAACAGTGTTGGAGGATCGAGCGAAGTCTCCTTCATCGACAAGCTTGGCAAGCCCGAAATCAGCAATGCAGGGCTCAAAGTCTGGACCAATGAGGATGTTGTTGGCCTTGATGTCCCTGTGAACAATTGGAGGAACACAGTCATGGTGCAAATAAGCCAGGCCCTGTGCTGCTCCCAGTACTATCCGGTATCTCAGGTCCCATTCCAAGCAGTTACCACTTCTTTCATGAAGTAGGCCACCCAAGCTCCCATTTGGCATGTACTCATACATTAGCAACCTTGTGTTTCGATTCCAACAGCAACCCAAGAACCTAACAATGTTCTTGTGGCGAATCGAGCCAAGGGTCTTCACCTCAGCTGAAAAGGAATCACGAACTCCTGCATTGATCCCGAACCTGTCATTTTGACAATCGTATCGTGTAGCTATTGTTGTTGGCCATAGCTTCTTTACAGCAATGTCTTCGGTTTCCATTTCTGCCCGGTAAACAATTCCTGAACATCCCTTTCCTATCACATTGGTTTCCACCAGACATTTCAGGACTTGGTCAACCGAGAAATTTACCTTCTGGAATGGAGTAAACTGCCATGGCCATGAGTCTCCTCCCATCTCGGAATCATTGTCCTCTCCCATCATCTTTCGTGTTCGATACACTGCAAGAGCCCCAAAAATTGTCAAGGCAATGGTCAAGGTTGTCAGCAAGCCAATGGCCAACTTAAGCCTCCATGACCTCCTGAAACCGCCACTTTTTGGCATGCTCATTGTTGTACCATTGCTGAGGAAGCAAAAGTCATGACCTCTAGAACACAGTCCTTCGTTTCCTGCCAGGTCCGTTGCTGACAACTGCCGAAACAGCTTTTCATCAGGAAGATAGCCGGTGAAATTGTTGTATGAGATGTTCAAAGAAACAAGATTTTCGAGCCCGGATAGTGCCAACAAGTCGCCTTCAAGCTTGTTGTGTGAGAGGTCTAGTATGGATAGCTTATTAAGAGCAGAAACCTGTGGTGGGATTATCCCAGACAAGGCATTGAAACTCAGGTTTAGAGCAATGTCAAGAGCTTCAATTTCAAACAGGTCCTCCGGGATTGTGCCAGTGAGCTTGTTGCTGCTAAGATCAAGTAGCTGAAGGCTAGAACAGCGACCAAGCGAAGAGGGGATTGGTCCCGAGAGTGAGTTCTTGCTGAGGATGAGCCTGTTAAGTGAAGCAAGCCTACCATAACTCTCAGGAATCTGACCCACAAATCGATTCACAGAGGCATCCAATACCTCAAGCCTAGTGAGCGAAGAAAAAAGGCTAGGCAAAGTACCTCCAAGGCTGTTGTTACTTAAGTTCAGCAGCTGTAATGCACTGCATTTTCCAATTTCATCTGGCACTAGACCAACAAGATTGTTTTCAGACAGGTCAAGGAAACTAAGATTGTCAAGGAGCCCAATTTCTTTTGGAATCTCTCCACTGATTCTATTGTTTACGAGGCGGAGCCTGATAAGAGAACTACAGTTTCCAATCACCGCAGGTATGGACCCCGAAATTTCATTCGAAATCAAGAGAAGCTTCGTTAAATTTTGCAGCTGAAACAGGCCAGGAGGTAAGCTACCAGTGAGAGCATTGTGTGAGAGATCAATAGCTTGGAGGCTCTTACAACCAGCCAATTCTGATGGAATGCTACCTTCAAGTTTGTTCTGCCAAGCAAAAAAGACTGTTAGCTCTGTCAACATTCCCAGCTCAGTTGGGATTAAGCCTGATATCTGATTAGTATCAAGCTGCAACTGCAAGAGTTTTGTAGCTTTGGAAAGAACTGATGGGATTGAACCAGAAATGTTATTGTTACTAAGCATAAGATCTTCAAGATTTGAGAGGTTTCCAAAAGATTGGGGTATGCTTCCAGAGACAGAATTCAAAGAGAGATCTATAGTCTTCAAGCTTCTGCAGTTCCCAATTTCCTCAGGAATGTTCCCAACAAGATTGTTCTGCCACAGCAATATCTTCTCCAGCTTCTGAAGCTTACCCAACTCTGGTGGCAGTGAACCAGAGAGGTCATTCTCATACAGAAATAGATTGACAAGCTCGGAACAGTTGCCAATATCCGGTGGAATCTCACCGGATATCATGGTAGTATAAACCGAAAGCGTCTGGAGCATGCTTAGTTTACCCAATGATGAAGGGATGGAACCAGAAATTTTAGTATCAGCAAGACCAAGCACCTGCAAATTCTTGCAGTTTCCAAGCTCATCCGGGATTTTTCCTGAAATGTCTTTGTTGCCACCGGCACGAATAACTTCCAAGTTTAATAGTTTGCCAAGCTCA